TAAAGGCTATAGTCAAACTAAATACAAAACAAAATATTTACAAAGTAAATTGTTAACTTCGAATTTGAAAAACTATAACAATATAATTGTAACTTCAGATATTAATACAAAATAAATATTTACAAATTTTACATGCCCAAATTTGAAATAAAATATATAAACATTGAAAACTATAAACTANNTATATATATATATTTTGTCGATTTGATTTGGGTTTGATTTGATTTTTTTTCTTTTAATATCAAACCAAACCAAGAGTGGTCGGTTTTTTTTTCAACTGCCAAACCAACCAAACCAAATCACACATCAGTTTTTTTTTCGGTTTGATTTGGTTCGTCGATTCGGTTTGACTTTACGATTTGATTTGTACACCCCTAGTTATAACTATTATTTAACTAATATAACTCTCACCTATATATTAATATAAAAATACTTAACAAAAAAAATTATCCTAGTTTACTGTTATTTGATTCTCAATGTTCAAGTGCTTCAAAAGTTTAAAGTGCATTATCCATTCATCATACCTTTTTGTGGGTAAAGTTTCTAGAAGCAAATCCTTAGTTTTGCACTTTTCATTTATTATACTCTATAGTGCATAGTGCATTTGTAAGTTGAATAAACTTTATGTGCATGGATATAGTGCAACACTTTGTGGATTACATATATTTGGGATAGTGCTTTTTCTCCTTTCTATTCTTTGTTGATTGTATATTGGCATTGTACCAAGCTTTATTAGCTTATTTGGCAAGACTATATGCAATTTATAAAAAGCTATTCAAAGGCTTTAGTTTATCAATTTTGAATTATAATTTTCCTAAATAATATAAAGAATTTGTGTCGAATTAATTTATCGTAATTCTAATAGTAGCTTCACCCCTACTTTTGTAAAACATCATTTAAGTTAACAATGTTAATTTACCATGATTAAGTGATGACCCGAAGTAAGAAGAGTTAGGTAATGTTGATTGGCTTATCGTAATTTGACCTTTTCGATACAAGTACGAACTACGAGAAAATGACATTTATCTTTTACCTTTTCAGTATAAGTGCGGACCATAATCTTTATTGCTTGTTTTGAATATATTAAATAATTTTTTTAACACAAATATAAGGTTTGAGCCAAAATAATGAATTATATCGACCTATAAATAAAACAAGATTAGATAAACTAAAGCTACAATTGTTAGGTTTTTGGCATGGAACATAAGTTAACTACGGTCGAGTGCTAATTTTATATATATATATATATAGTAAACATGTATCATGTATTTATTATTTAATATACACTTTCATATGTCTAAGTTATCAAATATTGTCGTAAGATAGCAACAACTTGATTAAAAGTTTACCAACTAATATTTTAAATATCATATTCCACCGGTGCATGTCTACAGTAAATTATGTATAAGAAAATTGAATTGCAATTATGAAATAAATATTAATTTTTTTTTTATTAAAATAGAAAAATATAGATAAGAAAAATCAGGAAGCTATGTAGTCTGCCAAACTACAAAATCAGTTATTGAGACATGACTCTGTAATGACAACAACAATGACAGTATCATATGACATTATGCTTACAAGTTAGTACAATACAATATGCACACTCACTTTTATTATATGATAAAAAATAAAATAATAAAATAAAAATTGCCCTACAAAGTGTTCATTAGTTATATTATGTTAATTGAGATTTAAAGGGGAAAAAATGATTAATGAGATATATTATATCCATAATCGAGGGACCAAATATATGAACTAACCCTTTTTAAAAATAAGTTATTTATGTTCTAAAACAAATAAACACTTCAAATCTAATAAAATCCTAACCAAACAAGCTATAATATCCTTAAAAAGTTACATACTAAATATTTCTAAGAAATTAATTTTTTTATTTTTTTCATTTGCCATTATCACGCAAAGCTTTATTTAGTCGTATTATATTCTATAATTTAATTATGGGAAGAAGACATCTAGAAGATTCAGGTATAAGATATTTCCATATAATACATAATTTTAAAATAATTTGTGTATTACAACTCAAATTTTAGTGACCCTTCTTATTTAATAATACTGTTTCAATTTGAATAGATAGTGAAATATAATCTACTCCATACTGTTCAACTATTTTCATCACAATATTATTATTATTTTCAGAATAATCAATTTCTCAGCAGTCGACATTGTCTCATTCAATGAATTTTTTTCATATTCATTTACTTTATTTCATATTATATTGTGTATTATTACATATGCATATTATCATACTAGGATTATTTGAATTTTTATTTATTACTATACTATAAGAGAACTTAATATGATAATAAAAAAACTTTATACATTGATTATTAATTAAACTCTTTAAAAATAGTTTATCAACAAAGGTGAGCCGGCCACAATTCATTGACCATGAAAATTAAGGAATTATTTATTTTCAGTATAATTATTTAAGTCCAACAAAAACTTAAATTTCCACGAGAGAACATTGTAAATATTTAACAAAAAAGAAGACATAAAATTGTTAGGCAAAATATTGTTGTAGGTAAGTTTTAAAGGTAAAAATCAATGTGATCGAACTCTTTAGCAATGTCGATAAATATGTGTCAAGTGGTACTGTTAAGGAACTGACACAAATATATTCATAATATTTTTAAAGAGTCTGAAACAAAGCACAACATATAGGAAAAATAGATACTTATAATATTTTTAGAGATTTGTTATAATAGTTAGTTATCTTAAGTTCTTAACAACCATAATTTGAACGTGTATTAAACTTAATAAATTGAGTGCTTAAATAAATAAATGATATAATGGAAAGCTGAAAAATTAAATTAATTTCAGATTTCATTCTGGAACAAGCCTTTTGACTTTGTATTATCTAGTCAAAAATTTGAATATTTCTTCAATATTTTCCGCTAATAATTTTATTTGAGTTGTACAAGGAATGTTTAAAAAGTCTTTATTCTTTTTGTAATTCTACTAATAATAATGACAATTCACATCTTTTCTTTTCACGGTCACTAATTGTAAGTTAACATGTAACAAACACTTCATTCTAATTAAACAATATCAAGACAAGTTAATTAACAATAAGATTTTTCCATTAAAATGTAAAAAACATCTAGTTAGATAATATTTTCTTTTATATAATTTTATGTAGCACGAATTTAAATTAATCAAAGCTTCAATATGAATATCAAAAAACAAAGTCAACTAAACAAATTTTAAGACATAAATTATCATGAGTTGACTTCCTTGTGTCCTCACTTTGTTGGTACCATGGGAGGATTCCACATAATGTTTAGTGCATTTTTAAAATTATATCTTCCATTTTAAAAGTATATTCCATTTGGATCTTAGTGGTTTGAGTATGGTATCCCACTAGGAGTATAATAAATACGTTTTTTTTAGAATATCTAGGATTAAGTGTATTGCTAAATTTTATTTTATTTTTAACTATTCAATAATTTTATTGGTTTATATTCATATTGTAAATGTCTAATTAAAGAACATATTTATTTTTCAGAATGTGAATCAAAACTAGTGATTACAAATATAATAGAGCTAAAGAGAGTCAAATGAGTTCAATTGAATCCTTTTCAAAGGAAAATTGTATTGCGAAATTATGGAAAAAATAATTTAATTTACTCATACATTTTCTTGAATTCTTGATAAAAAAGAAACAAATTTTAGTTTAATGATAAATAAGATTAAAAATTTGTATATCACATTTGAAACCCTATGTATAATATGTGAGATTTTGGTATCTTTTTGAATTTTTCTTTTATAAATTTAGCACTCTTCCACAATTAAGGACATATATTAGATATTTTCAAAAAAAAATGTGCGCTTTTTGACTTAAAAAATATGTGTTTTTTTGTGGAAATTCAAATAATATGTAAAACACATGAAAGAAATGTGATATGCATGTCTCATAAGTTTATTAAGGTAAAAGATTGTCTAACATATCATTAGTTCAAATTTAGCGCAAAGAAAATGCTTTTGCCACTTGAACAGTAGACGGGAGACATGCACATGTGGTTCTTTGAGGTTAGGGGAGAGTCTTTGAGTTAGATTACTAACTATAAACAAGTCATTCTTATTATCACTTTCTAATGTGATATCTGATAAAAAAAATGCAGTTTTGAACTGAAAGGTGGAAGTGGTTCCTCCTCAACTTCTGACTCTAATCTTGAGAATTCACTACAACTTTACATTCGGCAAGAAAGATCGATAAGCATTAGCATAAATTGAATTTTGGATTGACTCTTATTTATTCTTTGAAAAAATTCATAGAGAATCAAAATTCACTTAGGTGAATCCTACTAGTCAAATGCCTCTTTTTCCTCCACAAGAGTTCGCTCCCAAAAAAAAAGACTTGAAAAAAACTAAATAGAAAATTTGAACCTCTACTCTATTTTAGAAACGAAAATCACATTTACTAAAATCATATTTTGAAAAACACCTAAAAATCAAACTTATGTGTAATTACATAATTAATATGTATATATTTAGCTAAGTAATTACTGGATCAATATGATATGTTGAATACAATTGAGAGGGTGCAATATAATTACACTATCTTAATTTGAATGGAAAGGTGAAAATTACATTGTGTAATCAAATACTTTAGTAACTATTTATATTGCACCTTTATTTTCTGTTTGTCAAATATATATTAGTCTTTTAATATTATTTTTGTTTTCCTGTCTCTTATTTTCATCTTCTAGTCTTTTATTTTTCGTAATTATTACACACAATTACATTTTTATTAACTTTATTTTTAACTCATCAGTATAAAAGTTTATAATGAAATAAATTCATATTTATCTTTTTTTTAAAAAAAAAAAAAGCGACAAATCATAAATTTCACACTATATTAATATGAGTTGGAATTTTTACCAATTCATAATTAAATTTTTTAATTAATTAATTTAATTTAAGATTTATTAATCATTAAAAGTTTGTTTACTTCTTCATCGGAAAGAAAATTCCTTTCTTCCTTCATTCCCCTGAAAGAAAGAAAGAAAAAATTCAATGCAGAAATAGGCGAAGAAAATATAGCGCAAGAATTGGGGAAAATATTGAGGAAGAAAAAGGGGGGAATCAACATTGAATAAATAATTATGGCATTTTCATGGCGTTTTATTGGACTATCTATTTTTGTTTTTCTTCTAAATGTATCATCAATAGCACATTCTGCTCCTATCAAGGCACATAGCTCTTGCAGCAATGAAATCAATATGGTAAATGTATTCAACCCTTTTCTTATATAGAGAAAATAAATTGTGGGGTTTGTTTTTTGGGTGGAAATTGTGTTAAAAATGTAATCTTTTATGGATTTTGTAGATTTTCTTATTTGATATTGTCATTTCTTGATTATGTGGAAAGTTATGATGGGGTTATGGATTTTTTTGTTTTGAGGGGTTTCAATAGTTAAGAATCTTTGTTTGGTATGGACATGTTAGTGGGAGGTGGTACGTATCTGGTGAAATTAGTTGAGCTGGCCTAGACACTACGATTATCATTAAAAACCAATCTTTTTTGGTAATGTTAATAAGATGATTTGAAATGGTGAGGATTGGTTCATGCATTTGGTGGAATTTGTTATGAAATGGAGTTATTTGATATATTATGTTTTGATTCTGTGCCGGGGTGGCAGAGTTACTCGGTGGAATAGTTGAGGTGTGGGCAAGTTAGCTCGGACACCACTCCATAAAAAAGTTTAATTTGAGGTTCTGGTGTGTGGTGTGTGTGTGTGTGTGTTATAAGATTACTATACAAGGATTTATTTAGCATTTATTATACTCCCTCCGTTCACTTTTACTTGTCGATTTTGGACTTTGCATGCCCCTTAAGAAACAATGATTGAAATGAGTATTTTAACACAATATCCATGTTAGTTGATGTTTAGTCTTAACTGGACTTGAAGTATTCTCTATTTTCATTCTGTTCTGCACATATAGAAACTTACCGGTGCTAATCATTCTTTTCCTTTCTTTTGTTAAAGATGCTGGTGAAGTTGTGGGTTAATGGTGGTGAGGAAGATTCAATAGTTGGCTTGAGTGCGGCATTTGGGTCTGTATTACCCACTGATACTAAACGTGCCTCCAGGTTGCGTGCTGTTTATACACAACCTTTGAATGGCTGTTCTGCTTCCTCCACTAAGGTATTTACTCCACATTCCTTACACACCTTTACTTTTAGGTGGATATCCGAAACGAAACTGTGTTGCTGCTTGATTAAATAATAGTGATAATTCTTTCGCGGCCCAATTTCGGTTCTTTTGATCTTTCTTGATGATCTTCCATCTCTCATTTGTTAACTTGCGAATATTTGAGAACAATAGAATTCATACTTCTTTATGAGCCAAGTCCTGCTTTAAGAGTGAAGAATTGATGCAAATCTCAGCAAGGTTGAAAAGATTTAAGGAGCTGAATTGTGAACCAATCTCATTTATATCAAGGAGAAGTGAAGAAACAATTTTTTTTTTTAATATAGTTTAGGTGAAAACATCTACATGTTAAGCCATTGACCATCTCTGTCTTCTATCAGGAAGTTAAAGTAATTCAAACTTCTTAACTCTGCATAGAACAACTTATTTTCAGCATATAAGAAAACTTAAGAGTAAGTTTCACTCGTGAAAATGGAAAGATACTTTTTTCTGGTGGATCGCAGTGGAGGATTGAAATAGGAGAAAAGAGTAGAAATGGAGATGGGTTGAGGATGATCACTACAAAAAAACACTTGAATTGCAGGGGTTAAAATTACATATTGCGGGGGTCAGTAACCCCCGCAACTAAGTAATACGGCAGTTGAAAAAACTCCTACAATTAGATGTGCCACAATTAAGTCACGGGGTTTTTCTCCAACCCCTCGTACCATTAGCAGGAGTTTACTACTGGGGGTTTTGAACCCCTACATTTTAAATTCTAGGATTCAAAACCCCAACAATTTGTGAATTCTAGGAGTCAAAACCCCCCACAATTCATGAACTTTACATTAAAATCAACAAGAGTTTTGACTCCTGCAATTTATGAAATGTATCTTTTTATAGAATTTTGCTAAAAATATTCAATTTTAAATATTAATAATTAATTAACTAACATGTACATCATAGTAAAACCTAAAAGGGCATATTAATATAAGAAATAACACAATATTTCAATACAAAAATATATCAAAGTGTACTATAGTTTTACAAACTAAATTGAAATGTCATTCACTTCAACCATTACGATTACAAGAAACTTCAAATCTTGCTTGAACTTCAAATCACTACAAAAACTTGCTTAAACTTCAAATCACTAGCATCCAAACTCAAGATAGGATCTGCAACAGTTCATGAAACTCAGCGGATTTCACTACGATATCACCTGGCTGCAAAGAGAAATACACAATAAGCGACTTCATCCAAACTCAAAACATGGATGAATATAGCATACTTGATGAATTTAGTACTACCAGCCAGTTAAGTTATATGGTGGAATAAGACATGTTAGTTGACAAGAATATATTACAACAATAACAACATAATACACAGTGAAATTTCACAAGCGGGTTTGGGAAAGGTAGAATATACGCACAAGTAATGACTTATCCCCAGTTACGCTTGTCAGGGAGCAAAAGGAAAACAATTACTATTGTTTATGTCCAGCCAAATAATACAACTTACAGAGTTAAGAGCCTGCTCAAGAAATACATCAGTAGCTACCTTTTTGTGTAACTCAAACCAATTGGGTCTGCGATGGCCACAAGCCACTACTCCCCTGTACTAATTTTACTTTTTAATGAAATGCTTCATATTTCCTTACCAAAAAAAAAGTAACAACAAATGGGTCCTAGTTAGATAAAGTCTAAAGATTAATTCATTGGGAAAAGAAATTAATTAGTAATATCTATATGGCTAGATCTCACATTAGTTGTACACTGAAATGTACCTCTAATCCTTAATTCTTTGAAGTATCAAAGTTCCAGAGAAAAAGATTTTACTTACCAATGCCAACCACCTTGCTATGCCTATATAACATAATTATAGGTGCAGTAAGTTCTCAAGACAATGTAAAATATTCATTAAACAACACCAACAACTATATAAAAGCTATAACTTGAAATGTAAAAGTCCAACTAGTGAATTAGAAAATACCAGTTACTATTCAGATGATCAATTATAATTTTTTGAAAAGGCACAATTACTAAAAATAATGTGACCTCTCAAAACTGAACATGAGTCTAATGATGCTTAGGATTGGGTCTGTTGGGAGAAATTGAATTTTGCTTGCAAAAAGAGTCCACTGGCCATCCAAGATGTAATCTTGGCAATAATCTTGTCCACTAAGGGTTTAATTGGACTATTGTAAGCCTTTTAGGTGTCGTTTAATACAAAGATTAATAATGTAGGGATTAGTAATGCAAGGTTCCTTAGTAAAATTGTTTGGCACACCTAGATATTTGAAACAGAGTTCTCCAACCTCATATCCAAGCATAGTCAAGATGGTTTCCTTAGTAAATTTGTTAATACCTTCAAAACATACCTGACTTTTCAAAATGATGGTCTTCAAATCAGAAGCATCAGAAAACATATTGAATTTACCCCTCGATAGTTGTAGTTGTATAGATCTGACATCTCATCTAGTAAATATAGTAAGTCAACAGCAACAAAGTACTGATTCAAAACTGATGTCAACATCTAGATGGAAAAAAATGTTTCATCAAACTTTCTTAGTTGTAAATCAGCACAACTACAAAGAAAAAAGACATTCTTGCAACTCTTCCAAATCTGTTTGGGTTAAAGGAATTTTGCATTTAACTATCATTCCATCTTCACTAACTATCTAAAGGACAAAATCAAATAAAAAAATACAATAAACTCACAAGATTTGTAGAGCGTCGCAGAACTTGAGCGAGTTGTGCATGACTGCTTATAAGAGCTTTTATCTTCTTCAACAATGCAGCCACAAATATTGACACTATAGCACGAAAAAATAGTGCAAACTGTCTTAAAGAAAGATCTCATCAGAAAAATGAGAACCAAATTTAAAAAGAATAGCTGAAAAGTAGATGAAACTTACGGAAATAGCTGGGAATATAGACGAAATCAGGTTCAGTAATGTGGGAGGAGATAGTGGTGGGAGTGACGTCTTTGGGATCGGTGGCAAAAGGGATGGTTGGGTTTGGGGACAATTCCAGTTGTTGGGGATGATCGTAACATGTATACTCAATATACTCGATATGGTTAGTCAATCGATAAAGTGAAACAACCTTATGGTGCTACTTCTAATCCTACACAGGCTGATGACGCGACAAGAAAGAACAGTTCATCATCAAACAAGTTGAAAACACCACATTTCTCCAATATCACCACCTTATAACATAGAAACAAATATCATATCTCTCAAATTTACCAGATTCACTTACAACTAACAAAAATCAATTAAGAAGTTAATCTATCCAACCAAAAAATCAATTACTAGCAAGTTATTCTCTATGTAAACCTTATTTAATTAGATTATCCATATTGAAACCCTAAAGAATCGAAGTTTAGGGGAAATCCAAAAAGTACAATAGTTATAAACCTTAGAAAGAGCTGAAGCTTCTCCATGGTGCAGGACGTAGGGCAACGAGCCTATTGGAGCATTCTTTTACTCCAAAATCGGCGAAGATATTGCAGATTTTCTGAAACTAAAATAGATTCAAAATACAAATCTCAAAACTTTTTACAAACAATTTGAAGTTGAGAAAAAAAAAATCAGTTGATTTATAGATTGAAAATGCATGAAAATGAGGAAAAGAGAACTCATTTTTGAAGCTTTCGATGTCTAAATTAAGGAGCAATTGTTAAATAGAGAGAAATTGGGAAGTAAGAGAGGAGAAGAGAAGTATGAACCAACGATACCGCCAATCGCCACCGCCGCCTCCATCTTTTCCTACTCCGACCACTGTTATTGTGGATGAAGACAGTGATAGCTCCGCCACCATGGATTCGCCACCGTGCCGCCTCCATCACTTCCTACTCCAACCCTAATTATCATATGAAAATTGATCAGTTCGGGATCGCAGAAAATAGAATGAAACTTTTTTTTATTTGGGGATTAAATGAGCAACGATATAAAATTTTATTTTTTAGGATAGCGGCGGGTAATAACCCCACAAATTCTACTAAAATTATAGGGGTTAATCAAACCTCCGTAATTTGATGTAATTTGTGGGGGTTGAGTTAACCTCCATTATAAAACCTCTAGGATTTAAGTGTTTTTTTGTAGTGGATGTAGCACTATGTACAGGGTGGTGAAGGAATGATCTCTTGATAGCTCAAAAGTAGCCACAATCTTTCCTTCTTCTTTTTGATTAATTTGATGAACTAAACACATACTAGATAAATAGTTAAATACCTTACTGAACAACCTTTTGTTCTGTCGTGAGTCTTGTCAACACCCTCACCCCTCTCTGTACAGCAACTCATCTTCATATAAGCTATTGCTTAAATTGTTTATAAGTTTTTCAAGTGATAATCATTGTTTACATCATCTTCCAAAATTTAGATCTTTTTCTTCTTTTTTTGTTTCATTTACAAAAGACTACATGACTTCATTTTCAACTTTCAAGATTTTATTTTAAACTATTTGTGTGATCAGCTATACTTTTAAGTTCTTGCTAAAAATAACCATATATTACCCCAATTGCAAAAATATCAATTATATTAGCAATTTGTGAGTCTTAGTAATTCTGTTAGTTTTTTCTTTCTTCGATCTTGTGTTATTTTTAGCGATACAAATACAACTGGTATTTTAGAGGAAAAATATCCTTTTCATGGTACTTTTCAGAGTGGAACCAAATAGTAGTGTGGAGGAATTTCGAATTGTAAAATGATCTGAAAGGGTTACCACTAGGATCTACCAGAAGTTAACTATTACAAACTGATTTTACTTTGAATGCCAAAGAAGTCTAAATTTGCTATATCTGTTTGGCTGTTGTAAAAATAGGCTCGAGAATGTTCTATAAAAAGAAAATAATAGTGGTGTTGTTTGTTATACATTAATAATGCAGAAATATCATTTGTTCTAGTTATCAGGCTCTATTGCACTAGCTCGTCGCGGTGAATGTGAATTTATAACCAAGGCCACGGTTGCCCAAGAAGGAGGTGCAGGAGGTGTTGTGTTAATAAATAATGAAGGAGGTTGTAACCCTGACTCACATTGTCATCTTAGGTCTCAAGGTCTGTTTTATATGTTTCCCTTCATCTCTTTCTGATATGACACTGCTTTTTCTTGCATTTATTTAGGTCCTCTGGAAATTGCTTGTCCTAATAATTCTACCATATCAAATGTAACCATTCCTGTTGTTTCAATTTCAAAAGAGGGGGCAGATATTATTGATAAATACATCAATTCAGGAAAGAAAGGTAAGCCCTGGCCTCATATATATTGCTTAGATGTTTTGATAACGGTTAGCTTTCTTTTGGATTCTAATTTTGGTTGTCAAGATGTTGATTAGCTTGTGTTGTAATCTACTTTTTTTATATTACATGCATTATAATTCATTTTAATGAGTGCTTTTGAAGTATGAAAATATATTTATTATATATCATTGAGATGTAATCCCATTTCTTGCTGGTTAACTTTTGGTGCAAACAAGAGGTCCTTGTTGCATATATTATTGGGTGTATTCTGTAGGAACCGTATGCCATTTGTGTGTTTGTAGAAAGCTTTTAGATGATTCTTCATCTATTTATGGTTGGATATCGATGATGTGCATTCACTGCAAAAGGCATGTCAGGTTAATACTTTGAAAAAGCAGTTAAGCAATGAGTTTGGGATGAAGGTTTAGTGTGATGCAACGAAGATAGAAGATCGGAGATTGATTTTCTCTTCAAAGTGTCAGTGGTAGCTGATGAGAATGTGGACTTAAACGCAGTGTGGCTAACATCAAATGGCTTTTTTAATTGCAAACAATTATAGTGCCTCTGTAATTGATGCATATCTTTTGTTCTGATCTTCTTATTTCTTGTTGTTTGTTTTATTTCACTTGGAATACTTTTGATATATGGAATCCTTTTCTTGATCCAGTGGAGCTGCTGTTATATTCGCCAGATCGCCCTATTGTGGACTACTCGGTGTCTTTCATATGGTTGATGGCTGTTGGAACAATCATTTGTGCAGCTCTTTGGAAAAAGTTTACTCAATCTAAGGAAAGTGACGACTATGAACTATCACAAGAGGCCCCCTGCC